CTGGTAGCCCATCTATCATCGACGACAAGACCCGTTCTTCTCACAGCCGGACCAGTGTTTTTCTCAAGCATATCGATTCTTTGTCTTCTCTTGCATGGCCGTCTAGACAGAGCATCAGCATTTTTATGCAGGTTTCCAGGTCGATGTTCAATTTGGAAATCGTATTGCTGCAATTTCTCAATCCGTCTAACAAGCTGTCCTTCAGGAGTTTTCATTTCTAAAAGCCATTTTAGAGCTGCGTCATCCGTTCGAATTAGAAACTTACGTTCGTAGAGATACTTATGGAAATGGTCCACTGGTTTTACTATGGCAAGCAACTCTCTTCTGGTGACACAATAATTCCGTTTCGGCTTTGATAAGGTTTTGCTGTAGTACTACACGACATGCTCTTGTGAATTTTGGATTTATGAACGGACAGCTCCAATACTGGTGTTGCTTACATCTGTGTCCAAAATCAACATGCCTTTCTGATCAGGATAGGACAATAATGGGCTTGTACATAATGCTCCTTTTAATTTTCTAAATGCGGAATCGCATTCTTAGGTTTAATTATATGTTGACTTTTCTTCCGTTAATCGATGAAACGGAGCAGCTATATTAGCGAATCTTTCTACAAATCTTCGATAATAAGAACATAATCCTAGAAAACTCCAATTCCACTTTCTTTTGAAATAGAAAACACTAAGTTAGAATTCCAGAAGCGGTCAAAAACCTCTTTCAGGTTATTGAGATGTTCTTGGAACGAATTTCCAATGATCATGACATCATCTAAATATACCAGGGAAGTTCTCCATGTGAGGCCCCACAAAACTAGATGCATCAGTCGCTCAAACGTAGCTGAAGCATTACATAATCCGAAAGGCATTACGTTAAACTGGTATAACCCGCTTCCGGTATTGAAGGCAGTTTTCTCTTTGTCACCTTTGTGTATTGCCACTTGCCAGTATCCACTTTTGAGATCCAAGGTGGAAAACCATCTGGAGCTGGATAGAGTTGCTAATGTATCGTCTATCCTCGGAAGAAGGAAGCTGTCCTTCCTGGTGACGTCATCAAGCTTTCGGTAGTCCACACAAAATCTAAGACTTCCATCTTTCTTCGTAATCAATACTACTGGCGCAGACCATAGACTAATAATTGACTCTTCAATAATTCCCTCTTAAAGCATTATATCAATTTGGTTTTCCACTTCCTGTTGTTTAGCTACTGGCATACGTCGAGGTGGTTTTCTGGGTGTAAACTGGTCCGTCGGGTTTGATTATCCATCACAAATACGTCTGCTTCTTTCAAGATAAAATCTATGGCTTCCGATGTCTATCGAGGTGTTTCCATGATTTCCCCAAAGTCTGCATCAAGGTGTCTGTATCCAATTTCGATTTTTCAAAATGTCGCCTATCTGGTAGGTCACAGTTCGATATTTGTTTAACTGGTTCGAGAGTTCTAATAATATTTCCTTCCTTTATTTTTATTGTTTCAGAAGAAACATTGGCAATTTTTATCATAATGTCAATGTCTCCATTTGTTCTTACTAGAGTCTTTCCAACGAGAAATTTTTCTGGTCCATCTCTAATAAAATTATGTGTTAGTCCAACGCAGCGCCAGAGCCGTAACTAGACCTGTTTGCGCAGTGGCGGACCTAGCCCCATGGGGACCCGACGCAAAAAATTTTTTGGGGCCCTGTGTGTTTTTGAAGTTTTTTAAAGCCAAATATCAAAACAAATTTAATTGAACCACAGGTTTATTAAGAACATGAGAGACAATATTATGAAAACAACCTAAAAAAAAAAATTTTTGAAATGTTTCAAGTCACAGCCACTATTTCTCTTGGCGGGCGCTGCGTATTTCCAGCCAAATTGGTTGGCCGACACCATTGAGGGAGATTAATAAGGAGGCGAAATGACGAGACAAACGTGTACCCCTTAAGGGCCCCACAGACTACGATGAAACACGACGGTTTTCATTGCCGCGATGAATCACGTCGTTCCAAAACCGAAGTGTGTGGTAGAAAAACACGACGGTTTTCTACCAGACACTTCGGTTTTGGAACGACGTGTTTCATCGCGACGATGAAAACCGACGAGAAAGAACGTAGTGTATGGGGACCTTTAGAGCAGGTAAAAGTAAAGGAGTAGTAACATGGCGTTGGAAAATGGTGCCTTTTTTTCCAGGTATTTTGGCACCAAAAAAATGGAGGTAAGGTTCGTTTCACCAGGGTTCATACTTTTGACATCGAACACGCCATAAGTTGGAAAAAAAGGGTTGTCGAAGATTAATTCATATAACACATTCAATTTTTTTGACAAATTAAAATGAATGACTTCTGATTTAACGAACGTTTTTGACGTAATTGATTTGTTTCAGTCAATTTCCATTTGTTGAAAAAGGAAGGCGAAAAGTATGAACCCTCGTGAAACAATGTTTATATATTGTTCGTCGATTTTAATCTGATACTCGGGCGGAATGTGAGCTGGTGGCTCGCTACATTAGAACGCCAATGGTTACCTGACATCACACCTGTTTTTGCCATAACACCCCCGCACTCCTCATATGGAAAGTGTCAGTTAAAAATCGACGAACAATAGGCAAAATCTGAAATAGGATTGTAAAATCGGTTTTGCTCTAAAATTAACCGTTTAGGTTCTACAGGCTGTCAAAGTTGCAAAAAAGTCAATTTTCAATTGTCAATATTTCCGAAACAGTTGAAGATAGGTATAGGACATGATACATGAAATAGGTTCAGAATTTAACGCAGAATTTGAAAATGAGATGAAAAATTGGTGTTTTTATTTAAAAAAATAAAGTTAGCTGTCATAACTTGTTTTTGAGTCACCCTGTATACATATTATTATCATTAGAAAAACGGCCACCAAAATCAAAAACTGAAGTGTCCGAGGTTTTTTAAAAAATATCCACCCTGTATATTTTATAGATTTTATTCCAACCTTTACGTGCTCACTGTATACATACGTTGCAACATTTGTAAAAGTCCCATATCAATAAAATTATCAAGCAGTTGTTCGCCTTATTTCAAAAATTCTATTTTATTTCTAATTCAACCTTTTTTTAAACCTAAGCGAGCATTCACACTAAAGTAGTACGCGACGTGCGACTTGCTGGTAGAAAGCAGAAAACACGCAAACTATCAAAATATAGGATACGCCACTCCGGTGTGAAACCTGCTATATAAAATGTGTTAGAGAGAGAATCTCGGGTTTTTCTGGATATCTCCGGTATCACTCGGAATATTTCGAATATCAGTGCGGTATTTCAATGAGCACAAAATTGCGCATCTTTTTCCTAATATGAGCCACGTCGTATCTTCCACTGTTTACGAGATTCCGATGACATGTTGTATATAGGTTCTAAAATAAGTAGCATGCTTCTTGCTCTCTGGCAGCAAGTCGCACGTCGCATGCTACTTTGGTGTGAATACCCACTTATAGAGTCGTTTCCTACATAGCACGACCACTGAAGAAAAATCGAATTCAGCTGTCACAGTATTAAGACCTACAAAACTTTCCTCAATCTGTGTTATATGGTCTGTTCTCACAAAAGTCTCTGTCAGTGAGCATCGCCCATACATGTTTTCAATGCCTTCGGTACAACATACTCAAATCGCTAAATTAACTGACTGATTTTTTCTGACAGTTTGCGAACTGTCAGAGACTACTGTAAGAACAATCTGTGGTAAGAACATACCTATAATTATCTGAATTACTTGCAAGAGTTCAATTTCCAAATGTGTTTTGGATGGGCCTAGTCATTTCCTTCCTCACCAGGCCTTTTTGGTTTCTATCTTGTTTTAGTATCATATCAATGAATCAATATCTATTTCGCTGTATCAAGTATAGAATCCAGAAAGCGCTCTTTAAACTTTTGCTGTGTTGCTCAAACGGCGCTTTACGCTTAACGATTAGTGGCAGAATGCGCCCTTCGGAAGCTTGCGCCCGTGGCAAATGCCAGTTTCGCCACGCCCTAGTTACGGCACTGCGCAGCGCCTAGGATTTGTTGTGTTTGTGCTACTCAGTACTTCCAGGAATCCTCACTGGGGTTGTGGTCAGGACCTTAACGGCTTGGGATTCTTCTTGTGTAGTTAGGATAAAATCTTTATTACCAAATTTAAGGATGTTCATAGAAGGATCGAAAGAGAAACCATGTTGGTCGATCAAATCCATTCCCAAAATAAAATAATCTTCTATATCGGCAAATAATGTTCTGTGCTTGAAGGTGGTAGATGATGATGACAGACTGAACCAGCGATTTTTCTTGTGTGCATCAGTACATAAAATAAATAGCCAACCGGAGTATCTTTTTCAAAAGTTGGTAAAGGGGTCTAATATACGCAATAGGCCCACTCGACATAGGGGTCTCTATGCAGTGCCCAGCTCTATTCTGTAGATCCTTTACTTATGATGTTGCCACCAAATACTATAATTCAATATCCTTTAAAATTAAGTTCCCTAACACTCAAACTACATTTAAAAACTGACTGAAGAAATTCCTAAAGGAAAGAAATCTAAAAAAAATGTATGATGTTACCTAACTGGAAGTGTTTACTATTCTATAGTCACAGGAAAATTGAGGGACTAATGTCATGCTGCTGTGCTTTTGAAGGGCTAGAAGGGAATCCATATTCAAATTATTGGTTATAATAGGGTGTATATTGTTGGAATTTTGTATTTTTATTTTTTAATTTTTTTTTTTTTTTTTTTGTTTCTTGGTGCTGATCCAGCACATGTTCTATGTTCTCTACTTGTTCATGTTAGGCAAAAGTGGTTAGATTGAATAGCCATGCTAGATCTCGCCACTTATTATTAAAATTAAATACCTACCTTACTTTGTAAAATGATAAATAAAGACTTTTGAATTGAAGTGAATTGAATTTAGATTTCTTTAGTTTTCTATGTTGTCAGTATGGCGCATTAACGGGTGATGTAAATTGCACTTAGTACCTAGAAATTTTAAGCGGAAAATAATGAAAAATGAATAAATTCTCTATTTAGATATGCAGCCGTTGATACTCAAGCCCCTGAAAAGAAAATTGCCATTAAAATTCAGAGCTACGAAAAAGAAAATCAAATTTACGTCGAAGAAGAGTACGAAATCCTAAAGGAATTGGGCAATTGCGTTTATTTGATATCGTTTTATGGCGTTTACATGAAGGATAATCAAATTTGGTTCGTTCTAGAGGTAAGAATCCTATGAACTAAGAGACAGTAAGCTATGTATGTTCGGAAGGAATTTTATAAAAGCTAGAATTCAAAAATGTTTTTCCTTTATGTGGTAGGTATACAGGACAGGGTGTATACATGTACAAAAATTTTAACATGAGATGATATGGCCCATTTCAAGCTAAAACTGGATCCGTTATTAGTATTATCGAAGTTATCGCATAATTTAAATTCAGAAAAATGTTAACAACGTGACAACATCGTACAGGTATTATCTCTGCCAGGATATAATTTTAAAAAAAACTGGTAAATTTGAAGGTTTTTTTTTTATTCTATCGCAAATGGTAAACTATCATTTAATCGACTCAAAACTCGTTGTTAAAGTAACACTTTATTCGAAGTAGTGAAATTGAACAATTTTTACCCACTCATTTGTCAATTTTACCCACTCACGTCAATTTTACCCACTCATACGTCAATTTTACCCGCTTGTTCAAATCTTTTATAGTTATTTATGGTACTAGTGTGTTATGTTGAAAATAAGTCACGCGAGAAAGATTTATACCACGAGGCCGTCAGGCCGAGTGGTATAAATTCTCAAGTGACTTAGGAAACATAACGCACGAGTGGCATACAATGTTTTATCCAAAAAGTAGAAGAAATCGTTTTTTTTATGAGATAATACAAAAAAAAAACAAGATTCTATACGTCGGCGTCTTCCAGTACTATCAGCAGCTTTACCGATATTGGAGCGTCTGGTTCCAATGAACCAACGAATTTTACAATGACTTCAAATTCAAATAAACCGTTAACGTTTCCTTTAATTTCAATATCAATGTGAATTCTGCTTGTAATAGTAATAAATAAATAGAATACTACTTTAAATATGAACGTGTGTTATAATCCATAACTCACTTATAAATAGAATACTACTTTAAATATGAACGTGAGTTATAATCCATAACTCACTAGTGAGTTATGGACTATAACACACTAGTGTGTTATTTGATAGTTTACTTGTCTAAAATGACATTAATAATAATAGTCATAACTGTCACGTGTTGGATAAAATTAATTATAGTGTTTTTGACAGAGATCTGGTTATGTTGCATGATTGTCAACACCAGAAATGTGTCAGTTTGTTAGGTACTTTGTCAACTTGTCATAAACTATGTAAAATTTTAGCACATTTTAGTTTATGATTTTAGTAATTGTGATAAATAAAAAGTTGCTCAAGAATAAAATAGAATATTACACACGATGGTAAAAAAGCTTTACCTGTTCGTGGAATTAATCCACTCGCTCCTTCGTCGCTCGTGAATCAACATTTTCCACTCACAGGTAAAGCATCTTTTTACCGTCTTGTATAATAAATAACTATTTTTTTTTGCAAGGAGTTTATTTCCATCTGTTTACCTTTTGCTTGCATTTTTATCACTTTTCTAGTAAAAATAAAAAATGTGCCGTTTTATTAAGTTGTGAATTGCACTCAATGACATTTTTGCACTAAACATTCAAGAGAAAAATTAAATAATACTTACTTGCCAAATATTCATTATGAAAATAATAGTTTTTGTTAAAAGATTTTTCACATTCACACTTCCCGTATCACGCAATCTTTGTGAAACGGGCACAATGTTCTTTCATTAGGGACATCAGGTGGGTGCTCTTGGGAACTGTCTCTCAGTAAATTCTGGCGGCTAAATGGGCATTTTGCAACGATTCTGCCTAAACAAGTATCTGCATATTCGACGTTTGTAAACATTTTATTATCAAAAAAGAATTAATTACGCGCGTTTCCAATGCTTCAACCAACTGAGATAAGACAAATGGAGCATGTGTATTGTGCTATGTTGCCAGAAGTTTAGATACTGATTTACGAGTGAAATTTTCATGTTGTTTTTTCAATTTTTTATTATTGTTTTTGACTAAAAATGCATAATTGCTTGATAATTGAATGAACTTAATTTTTTTGCATCTCATAATGATTAAATTTTTTTTATCTTTTAAAAATATTCGTCAAAAAATGTCAAAACTTAAAAATAGTTGAATTTGAACCCCATGTAGTATAAACTTTTTTTGTTCAAAATGGGTCATATTTTTACGTGTTAAATTTTTTTCTACTACCGTGCGTAAAGTACTTACTTTACGCGCTATTCAGAAGACGTAAAATTTCTCTTCACGCACTAGTGCGTGAAGTAGTTCACTTCACACACTAGTGCGTAAAGTAATGTCAATGACAGATGTTGACCTGTCAAATTACTATTTTTCTGGTAAATTACTTCACGCACTAGTGCGTAAACTGAAAATACTTTACGCACTAGTGCGTGAAGAATTTGTCTAAATTTATTTTTTATACATATTTGATTGGCAATAGAAAAAAATTTGTATGCAATACGCGCGTAAAGCACCTTTTTTCACTCATGTGATTGTCGCACTCGCCTTCGGCTCGTTTGTCAAAATTCACATTCGTGAAAAAAGGTTCACTTCACACACTTGTTGCACAAATAACTATTGTAGTCAAACCTGATACGCGTATTGGAGGTATTCAGTGGTTTCTTCTATACCGTCCCACATTTAGGGGAGCGCTCACCGCAGGTCTTTGTCTTACATATTTGTAAAATTCAGGAGAGTTTCTGTTTTCATAGAATAGAATAGAATAGTTCATTATTACATCGTTGATTAGTATGCAAAATAGCTGAAGACTCTTACTGAACAATATTTTTTAGCGATGCGAAGGAAACACTGCATTGAATTTAGTACAAGGATTGCTGCTAAAAAACAGACGAATGACTGAGGAACATATTGCTTATATTTTAAAGGAAGTTGTAAAGGTGAGTTCTCCAATTATTATAACAAACAATTTACTTGACCAGACTTTTATTAGGGTATAGTCTACCTCCACGAAAACAACATCATTCATCGTGACATAAAAGCCAGCAACATTTTGCTAACAAAAGAAGGCGAAATAAGACTATGCGATTTTGGTCTGTCAAAAAAATTGAAACATCACGATGAAAAGCTCTACGAAAGTGCAGGATCTCCATGCTGGATGGCCCCTGAAGTTGTTAACGCCAACGAAAAAGACCCTGAAAATTGTTCTTACGATAATAGAGTCGATGTTTGGAGCTTAGGTATAACTGCCATGGAGCTGGCAGAAGGCAAAGCACCATTTCAGGACATGCACCCATCTAGAGCACTGTTTCAGATTGTTAAAAACCCACCGCCAAGATTGGAGAAGATTTCCAGTTGGACTGAGAATTTTCATGATTTTATTAGCGAGTAAGATTTTTGTATGCAGGGGCGCAACTAGCTTGTTGGTTTTGGGGGGGCTTGAGCCCCGGGTCTCTGTAAGTCGATTTGGTGACAGTATATGATGTTTTTCAAAACTTACTACAGTACGTATTTCACGAATGCCTGAATTTGACGGAAATACTCTACTATAAACTTTGTCCTTCGATATATAATCTACGTTCTTAGTTGAAAAAAAAAAGAACAAAGTTATAAAAGACATTTTTATGTACAGGTCTGTTCCTCATAATTAGTGCGCCTCCTACAACTTAAACAAAAGAAAATACAAAAAAAAGTTTAATACAAAAGTTGTAGGGTTTTATCTCTATTATATTTTGCACATGTCAAAATGGGCAAATGACAGGTGCCAACTGTCATAATGACAGCACTTGCATTTTTTTAAATAGAACACCCTGTATATTTTTGGCTGGAATGATAGATCTTTTTCTTCTGATTCCAAATATATCATATATATTTTTTTAAATTATGTAACGGCCCAATTAAGGACCGATTGAGAAGTGTTTTCTCTCTGCAGTACCATCCGTGGACGCGTTTCGCTGTATCACAGCTCATCAGCACGGTTAGGTCCCGCAGAGAGAAAACACAACCCATTTTTGGTTCCCTCCCGAAACTGGGTTTGATACAAGTGAGGCACTGTGTGTGCCGATCAGAAAATAGATGGAGACTCTGTCTTCATCTCACTTATAAGTATCATATATATTGATATTTGGTTCAGCTGTTTTTGCGATATTTCATTTTAAAATTGCATTGAGCAAGCCTCATCATTGATATTAGAAACCGGGAACAGACCTAATTTAGGGTAATGTAAATGCATTTTTAAACTTGAATAGCGTAAAAACAGCTGAATCAAATATCAACATATATGATATATTTGAAATCAGAAGAAAAAAATCATCGAAAAAATCTATCATTCTAGCGAAAAATACATATACAGGGTATTCTATTCAAACAAAATGCAAGTGCTGTCATTATGACAGTTGGCACCTGTCATTTGCCCATTTTGACATGTACGAAAGATAATAGAGATAAAACCTTACAACTTTTCTATTTAACTTTTTTTTGTATTTTCTTTTGTTTAAGTTGTAGGAGCCGCACTAATTATAAGGAACAGAACCTGTATATTATACATAAATAATATGTAAGTAAAAATATATTGAGTTTAAAACTTCTTAAACTACTTAAATCGGTAATAAAACCAACTTAAAAACTGAAACAAGTTCTGTTAAATTAAATTCCTCCTAAGTGCACAAACAGACACGGACCAGCAGACGAAAGGGAAAAACGAACAGTCCAGTTGCGCGAAACTCTAATACACTGGAACGGCTATAAACAGTCCAGGGCGCTCTAGAGCAGCTCAGGAGTGCTTAAAGTGCGTCACTGGAAAGCGACTCAGATCTGCTCGCTCGGGTTTGGGAGGGCGAATGGCTAATTTGTGTCATTATTATCATGTTTGTGATCGTCGGGTTTGGGGGGGCTAATCTCGAGCTTGGAGGGGCTAAGCCCCCCCAGCCCCCCCTAATTGCGCCACTGTTTGTATGTATTTAAATTGCACGCAATGTTTTATTTATTTATGTTATAGATGTTTGGTAAAGTATTATGAAGAAAGACCTTACATAATGGAGGTTATCGATCATCCATTTTTACAAGAAATTCCAGAAAATAATTATCATGTAAGAACTGTTTTATCTGAATTAATATTTTTGTTCTCGAAATTTAAGTTTTTTTTGCATTTATTATTTTCTCAATAAAATCGAGTAGAATTGGAAACTTTTTTCTAGCTGAGCTTGGAAATCAAATCTCTTCTGGAGGAGGTTTCAAAATATAAAATTAAAACAAAACCACAAGAAATGGTAATTATTGAAAAATTTCTAAAGACCACCATAGATGGAAAATTCGAAAGAATAGTCGAAGAAGATCTGGTAGATTTGCCACGTGTAAGTGAAAAAATGATTTTATCTTTGTTGGAAGAACGTTTTAAACGTAAACAATTTTATACGTTTGTTGGAGATATTTTACTGAGCATTAATCCTAACGAACGACTAGAGATATTTGGTACACAAGTGAGTTTATAATAATTTGGAAATGACACACCGTTTATGAGTATTTTTAGTATCATCAAAAATATATGCAAAAATCTAGATCCGATAATGCACCACATATCTATGCCATTGCTGACGCTGCTTATCAAAATGCGTTACATCATAAAATACCTCAACAAATTGTACTTACAGGTAAATTTATTATACAAATTATAATTACGTATATAATGTCCGTATTACATCTGTGTATTTTTCCGTGTATTTATTCATATATTTTAGGGTGCCAACATGATTTTGTTTTTCATAATGCTGATTTATGTTGCGTATGAAGTTTTGTCACCCTGAACTACATGAATAAATACACGGAAAAATACACAGATATAATACGAGCATAAAAGTAAGGTTGAAAAGGGTTTAAGTGCGATTTTTGGAGTGTTGTCTTTTGTATCCATGACAAGAATGATAATAGATTTGAATAAGGGTTTAAAAAAAAAATCGCAGTTACCGTGATAACTATTTTGAAATTGGATGTACTAGATCAGGGCATTAAACTTTATATACAAGGTATGTCCACCCTGAAAATCTTTTGAAAATTAATTAAAAGCCGAACACGTAAAATTTATTATTGAGGGGGCATGCTATGATATACAGGGTGTCCCACGGTGGATGGCGTATTAGACGTTTATGGAGAATTAAAAAGCGGATCATTTTGAAAATTTGGCAACCGGGATAAGCGACCATGATCTACACTTTAAAAATATTTTTGTTTATGCGGTGTTGCCGCTTCTACTCTAAACCAGTGGCAACATCGCTATTTTAGATGGAATACCCTGTATATGATTGAATATTTGGATTCTACGTAAAATTCTGAACAGATTTCATGTGATATACCCTATAGGTACCTAAATTCAACTGTTTTGGAAATATTGACAGTTGAAAATTGACTTTTTGCAATTTTGACAGGCTGTAAAACCTGAACGGTTAATTTTAGAGAAAAACCTATTTCACATTCCTATCTTAGATTTTTGTAAACTATCATTTGACACCAACTTCGAATTTAATCTATGATTAAAAACTCCAATTAAATTTAATCTCCGGTTAAATTCAAAGTTGGTGTCAAACGATAGTTCATGAAAATTTAAGATAGGAATGTGAAATCGGTTTTTCTCTAAAATTAACCGTTCAGGTTTTACAGCCTGTCAAAATTGCAAAAAGTCAGTTTTCAACTGTCAATATTTTCAAAACAGTTGAATTTAGGTATAGGGTATATCACATGAAATCTGCTCAGAATTTTACGTAGAATCCAAATATGCAATCACATATAGGGTCTTCCATTTTAAATAGCGATGTTGACACTGGTTTAGAGTAGATGCGGCAACACCGCATAAACAAAAATATTTTTAAAGTGTAGATTATGGTCGTTTATCCCGGTTGCCAAATTTTCAAAATGATCCGCTTTTTAGTTTCTCATAAACGTCTAATACGCCATCCACCGTGGGACACCCTGTATACCTGCGTTTTTCTCCCTTTATCCCCCTACCCACCAGAGCAACCCCATGATTTTTTTTTTAAATGGGGTTAAGTGATAGGTACCTTAATTAAAAAGTAATTTTATTCTCTACCTGGTTTTGTTTTTTATTTTTTGCGGCTCGTTTTTGAGAATTATGGATTATCGAGTCTGAATATCAATTCAGATCAATAATAATTGCAAAGAAAATAATAATAATTACAATTATGTTATTAAATGTTGAAAAAAGATCGGGAGGTCTAGCAGGCCATCCTATGGTATCTCTCCGGCCAATCCATCGTCTAGAAAATTCTTCATTCAAAAACTGACGAATGGGAGTAGCGTAATATGAAGGTGCCCCATCTTGCTGAAACATGAATTCATTTTCTAGAAGGTTATCATCTTGTTCAAGTGATTCAGTTTGTTGCAGGCTTGCTAGATCTCCCGATCTTACGCCTTTAGATTTTTTCTTATGGGAACATCTAAAAACAAATTGTATTTTTGCATGGAGGTCAATGGAGAACATTTTTAACATTTAATGAAATAATTGTGAACTTTTCATTTTCTTTAATAAAATTAATATTCAGACTCGTTCATCCATATTTCTTTAAAACAAAACGATAGAAATAAAAAACAAAAACTGGGTCATGTAGAGTTAGTTACCTTTGATCAAGGTATCACTTAACCCCTCTTTCCATAAAAAAAATATATGGGATGGGTCTGGAGGATAGAAGGATGAAGGGAAAGAAACGCAGGTATATGTCATAACATCTTGTTAGTGATATGTTGCAAATAAGTGCAGCTTCTGTGATTTTCGTTTATTTGTACCCTAGTTAATATGGATGTTATTAGATAATATTATTTTTTTACTACTAACCTGAGAAATAGACATTATTCAATCTATTTTTCTAAGAAAAAATTGAATTTCTCTCCCTAGGTTAATAATGAAAATAATGAAAAAATACCTAGGTCAATAATGAAAATGACGTCATGACGCAAGGATATTGTCATGTTTCTATTGGATCAATTTCAATTTCATACGTCAATTTGAAAAAAAATACAGGTTTCTGTAGGTACATAGGAAGTTATATAAGCTGTTGATAGAGGGCAGCACTTTCAAGAGGGCGTTCACAAAAAAAAATTAGAACACAGATTTTAAACAATTTTTTTATTTTCTACTAGCAGTAGTAAAAAAAATTCTATATATTCCGCGGTAGAGAAAGTCATTATATACCTCAAACATTATAAACCTCGGCGCTGCGCGCCTTGGTTTATAAAAGCTTTCGGTATATAATGACCAACTTCTCTACCTAGGTATATAATATACTATTATTTATGTTATTTTGGTACAATAATAGTATATTATATAACTAGGTATATAATGACTTTCTCTACCGAGGAATATATAGAATTTTTTTTACTACTGCTAGTAAAAAATAAAAAATTTGTTTAAAATCTGTGTTCTAATTATTTTTTGTGACCGCCCTCTTGAAAGTGCTGCCCTCTATTAACAGCTTATATAACTTCCTATGTACCTACAGAAACCTGTATTTTTTTTCAAATTGATGTATGAAATTGAAATTGAACCAATAGAAACATGACAATATCCTTGCGTCATGACGTCACTTTCATTATTGACCTAGGTATTTTTTCATTATTTTCATTATTAACCTAGGGAGAGAAATTCAATTTTTTCTTAGAAAAATAGATTGAATAATGTCTATTTCTCAGGTTAGTGGTAAAAAAAACGTATATTTATTTATTATTTATGTCCCCTCAATATTAAATTTGACGTGTCCGGCCATTTTCCGCTAGAAAATTTATTTTCAAAGACTTTCAGGGTGGTCTGTTTTCCCGGAAAAACCCTGTATATATTTTTATCTAACAAGAACTATGATTCGACACAGGCACCCCACATTCAGGAGCTGTATCCTTAGTTCTAGTTGTCCCAGGAAAATTATATCTTTGGTAAATATAAGTCACGTTCCTCGAATGCAAGAGCTGCATTTGCCGATGATGGCAGCTGTGATTTCCTATTTCCTTCCATACGGCAAATCAGTAATTGAAAAAAATGCCAGATGTTTATTCTATGCGGTACGTGAGTTTTTTAAAGTGTTACAGTGCGATATCTCGAAAAAGGTTTCAAATATTTTCATGATATTTTGATGACTACCCTTGTATTTACTACGGGTAAGTACAGGGGGGATCATATTTTACGATTTTTTTGATATATTTTTCTCCACTTCCTTTTGAGGGGTAGGGAACTAAATTTCAAGTAGGATGCTATGTTTTTTTATTTTAAAATACGAATCAACGCAAAAAAGAGGTCTCTCTCATGTTATATGGAATTGTAGGTGCAGTAGCCATTAATTTGTCATTTATAAAGCACATGGAAAAAGTCAAGAGGACTCAAACCTGAAGAACGATCAGGCTAGTTAACCAAACCACCTCGACCGGTCCACCTTTTTAGATCGAATATTTGAAAATAGGTGGATGGCCTCTGCTCGTTCTTTAGATTTGACATTTGACTCCTCCTGAAATATTTTTATGGGGTTTATAAAAGACAAAGTAATGGCTACTGCACCTACAACTCCAGATAATCAAATCCGTTCTAGCGCTATAGGTTATCAAGTTATTGTTTTATCTTGATTCAGCTTTCCTACTTAAGCCCTATTTCGGTTTTTTTCTTTATTTTGCTCATGTGCCAAAGTTCTCTGGCCGAGACGGCTAGCACAGCACCATTGTATTATCTGCGTAGAGTTTCTATTCATAACTACGCATATAGGTTTTTTATTCTAGTATAGTTTATAGAGAGGCCAGTCAAGATGTTCTGGGAATGCTGGGAGGTGGCCTCCATATTATCTCGAAACGCCCTGGAGTAACACGAAAAGTATATAGTTGAACTCCGTCGATTTTAATCTGATACTCGAAAGGAATGTGAGCTGGTGGCATCCTACATTAGAACGCCAATGGTCACCTGACGTGATACCTGCTTGTCCTGCTCCACTTCCTTGCTCCTCATACGGAAAGTGTCAGATTGAAAATAACGGACAGTATATTTCCAGGGTCCTTATTCTTGAAACAGGGGAGCAGCGTTCCCAGGAGAACGAATGTTTCGTCTTTCTCAGTGATATGCAAATGATAATATAAGTAACAAAGACGGAACACTCGTTCTTCTGGGAACGCTGCTCCCCTGTTTCAAGAATAAGGACCCAGATTAAATTCACGATTGGGAGGTTGTTCAGGATTTGCTCATTGTTTTGCCAGACATGAGCCCCCTTTCTGTTTTGTAAACGTGCTGAAGGAGGAAGGGCTTCGTCGGCGTTGATAATGATGAGCACGACTTTGCTGGCAAGAGATATCAATGCTCTTGTCTCTTGTCCGATAGCTCTTGTAGTCAGATGGGCGAGCCTTTTTTGAATATAAGTATGAGCATAAATTAACACCAATTTGGTGGCCAGTGAGAGCAGCGGATGGTTCTCTGGTGATTCCGATGGATAAAATACTGTTTGAAGGCCTATAGCGCCACTGTATTTGAGCGCTCAATTTGCCTGAAATCTTAATCTGCAGAAATAGCCAGGAAATCTTGTTCTGTACCTTTATCACCATGCTCATGAGAGACTGCATATATCTTCTATCCTCTACTGATGGTTTCTTCTCTAACAGCCTGCTCTGGCCAAAGTGG